TTGAATATACCATGGAATGCTAGGAAAATAAACAGGTTCACCCCGGAGAGGTTGAAGCCGGGTTGTTCCTTGGAGGCAAGGATTCTGAAACTTCATCTAATATACTTTGGGCATGTTGCAAGGAGGGACTGGTCCTTGGAGAGGGACATTATGTTTGGGAGAGTGAAGGGATGGCGCAGGAGAGGAAGATCCTCGATGAGATGATCAATTCAGTAATTGGGGCAGTGGGAGTAGTGTTGGAGATAAGGAGGTTGACATAGGATAGAGCAGAGTTCCAGGCTCTTAAACATAGGGTCTCTGTGAGTCACAAGCGACTTGACGGCACATAACAGCAAACCAATATTTTATAAATGTGCAACCAGGTTTCCTCATTTCATGTTGTTGTTGTTGTTGTGTACTGTCAAACAGGAACCAACCCACAGCTGACCTTTCAGTAGGGTTTTCAGAAACTGTAAATCACACAGGAGAATTTTTTTTCCCTTGTAGAGCAGATAGATTCAAACCACAGCTTATCACTCAAATCACCAAGTACTCAATTTCTTTGAAAAATGTCTCTATTAGAAATCACTATTTTACAGTCAAAAGGCATTTGACTATGTGCATAATAACAGAGAAAAATTATCCCAGCACACTTAATCTTGCGCATATGTAATCTATATATATAGACCAAGAAGCTGCTGTCAAAACAAAACAAGAGAACATCGTTGTTAAGTGCTGTCGAGTCGTAGGCAACTCATAGCAAACCTACGAACAAAAGTCCTGGACACCTGTATAACTTTCGTCCTTTCTCCAGAAGGGAACACTGCATGATTTAAAATCATGAAAGGTGTGCAACAATTCCGTATCCTTTCTTTTTTACCTATTCAATCTGTATGCTGACCAAATCATCTGAGAAGCTGGACTCTATGAAGAAGAATGTGGCATCAGGATTGGAGGAAGACTCATCAACAACCAGTGTTATGCAGATGACACAACCTTGCTTGCTCAAAGTGAAGACTTGAAATATATGCTTGTAATTGTTAATATGGATTTAATCTCATTACCAAAAAACTAAAAACCTCACCTCAGGACCAACAGGCAACATCATGATAGAAAAAGTACTGATGTCATCAATTATCTCATTTTACTTGGATCCACAATCAATATCCAGATTAATAACAGGCAAAAAACATAAGACTTGTTGCACTGGAGAAATTTGGTGTCAAGGATCTCTCTAAAGCACTACAGCAAAGATGTCCATTTAAAGACTAAGGTGTCCCTGACCAAGCCAAGATCTTTTCAATTACTTCCTATGCATCTGAAAGTGAACAATGAGTAAGTATGACAGAAGAAGAATCTATGTCTTTGAGTTACTGGTCCTGGAGTAGACTAAATGTCCTATTATCCAAAGAACAAATACATATTAAAGAAAGTGCAAAAAGGGTACTCTTACTTTAGACATGTTGTTAGGAGGGGCCCGTCCTTGGAAAAGGACATCATGCTGGGGAAAGTGAGGGGTCAGAGAAAGAGAGGAAGACCTTCAACAAGGAAGAGTGACACAGTAACTCTAACAATGGGCTTTTGTATATCACAGAACATGACAATGTTGCTTGATAGGTCAGGGTTCAGATTTGTTGTTTGAAGGGTGTGGACTATTTTTCTGTGAGTCTGAATGAATCAATCCACAAGAATTAAAAAACTTATCTGTAATAAAGGCTCAAAAATAAATAATATCCATAGAACTTGTAAGCAGCAGAAAGGTAATGAGAAGGCAACTGGACAAGAAATCAAGAGGATGAAAGCAGTTCTCCAATTTTCCAAGTTACTAACAAAGCGTTTCTGAGGTTTCCAAACTTACATGTCAGAACACTGACTGGGCCAGAGATAAGTGAGTAATCTAAATGACACACATACAAAGCTTTTCTTTACAATACTGTCATCTGCATGTGCATTTAGAACCCCAAAAAAGAAGTAAATTTGCAATAAAGCAATGACTAAGTCCAACTGTGTCACACACCTAGTCATCTAACTGGATACGAAGTATTATTGCTCACTATCATTGAGCTTTAACTACTCACACTCAGACTGTAGTGATTACTTTTACTCTTTCACTGTAGTCTTTACTGTTTTCCAAATGCAAATAAGATGATTAATCCGAGCTGCAGCACAGATTTTACAAAAATATGAGCGTTTTTCAAGGGGTAAATATCAAAATGCTGTTTACGATTCAACCAGAGTTCTCAGGGGTGGGGAACGGAGCTTGCAGCGGGGGTCGGAGGGGGAAGCCCTTTGGCAGCTCCGCAAGGCCACCTTAAACGCCCCAGGCCTCCGGCCCTGTCCTCAAGGCCGCACAGCGCTAGCCCCGGGCCGCCGTCCGCCCCTCCAGCCTCCCGTTCCTCTGCTCCCTCACCGTCCTCGCCGGCGGCTTCGCTAAGCTGCTGTATGTGAGCCTGAGCCAGGTCCCCGAGTTCCTCCACTCGCTTTACCACTGTAGGATCAGTGGCCGCCATGGCCGCAACAAGAGGGCGCCCCTCAACCACGTGATCGCGCCGGCCGTGGTCACCTGACCCACAGGCGCAGCTCATAGTATGGAGGAGGAGCCCGAGGGACGCGACGCCAGCTCCAGGCAGGCCGTCTTCTTACACGGAAGGTCATTCCAGGTCGTTTCCGCCCACCAAGCCTCCCATAATGCCGCGCAGTTAGGGGACGGTAGAGGCGGGGCATGACGCCAGGGCTCGCCTCTCTCCCGCCCCTGCTGTAGACCAATAGGAGGCAGTGCTGAGCATGCTGAGCCAATAGGCAGTTAGATATTTGCACTGAAGGGTGTTCTGCAGCCGCTGCCCCGCTGCACCACTTAACCTGTCCTCTGTGCATTGTTGTCCCTCATCTGTAGTGAGGGCTTTGGAGGACCTAAGGAAGGTCTAGGAAGTATTTTGGTTTTGGCCTTGTAGTGCGGAGATTGCTAGAGATTAAAAACTTAGCATCAGCAGATCAGAAAATCGGACACTCCACGACCCTGTTGTACTGTGCCAGGAGCTTTAAGATTTACTGTCTTTCAAACATTGGTGGAACGTCCCCTTGAGGCTTGAATACCACTTTTTTTCTTAAAAAGGAATTTTAGCACCTTCATTTGCTATCTAAAGGAGTAATAAAAATTTGCAACTGCCAAGTTAATTTCTTTCTTATCAACAATGTTGTTGTTACATTCCTCATATATCTTTGACTATGTTGTTTTTCTGATTCTAGCTCTTTGCACGTTTCATTATAATACTTTGAGTTATCTTTCCAAGGTGTCCTTTGAAATCTCCTCAGTTCCCTCTTACTGATTTCTTCCCTTTGTTTTGGCTTGGCTCTCTAGTGCAATAGTCATAGTCTTTTTCGAGAGGTAGTCAACTCTGTGGCACAGAGTCGGAACCAATCCATAGCTGATCCCCAGCAAGTTTTCAAACACAGTTAATCACCCTGTGTTTGACGTTTATCTTGTCATAAATACAGGTGTCGAGGTACTTGGTCAAGTCTAACTTGACTTAGCCACCTATGCAGAATGGCTCTGAACACTGCCCTATCTTGAGCCAATCACATTGCCTCTGACACACAGGCCCCATCGCCACAGTCACTGGGTCAATCCATCTCATCTGGACCTTCGTCTCCTGTACTGTGATGTCCTTTTTCAAGGACTGAGCCCTCCTGGCAACATGCCCAAAGCAAGTGAGAAAACGCTTCAAAATCTTTGCCTCCGAGGTTCTACCCCCTCTAGGATAGACCTGTTTGTTCTCTCGGCAGTCCCTAGTATGTATGTTCAATACTCCAGCTCTCAGATGCATAACACGTAATTGAGAAGACCAGGCTTGGATCTAAATATAGAAGGCAGGAATAATGTTACTTCTGAGTTCTCAGTACCTAGTTAATGTCTAAAGGGAAAAACCATGTTAGTGTACCTTTTTTAAAATTCTTTTTTTTTATTATTAAATTTTATTAGTTTTAATGAACATGTACAGGGATTTTGGGTTTTCATTCCTTCATTGCCGCACCATTCTCTCTACCCTCCTCCCCAGTTTGCTCTTCTTCCCCACCATCCGAATGTCTGTTTTAATTGTCCAATTGCCACAGTGCTTGTCAAAGTCAGTTCTGATTAATCTCCTTTGTCGGTGTGTCCTTTGCCAT